AACGAGGGTTCACTGTAGTCCCTATCCCAGCACTCCAGGGAGTAGGCTGGCAAACAACAAAGGCATTTCCCACAGATCACATCCTGACTCAAGGTCCTGCAGCTGCAAGCAAAAAAAAAAATCTCCCTTCCTGTTGTCAACATATACCTCCCTAGCTCGAGCCCTCTACAGCTCCCACCGCTTCACCGACAAGCTGCGATTTCCCTGACCCAACTTGTTGGGTCTCGGAGCCGCCCAGGAGCTCAAGATGCTCCTGTCCCTCTCTCTGCGCTCCCTTCCCTCCCGGGAGCTCTTTCCCTGCCCCAATAACGCCGCTCTGAACCTCACGTCCTTCATCTCAATTCTGTCTCTGCTCCGTGTCTCAGCGCTGACCTCTCACTACTCAGTTATCACTGCTCATTATCCCCTGCCACGCTTCTCAGCAGCAGAAGCATGTCAGTAAAACATTTTTAAAAACTCTTACTCTGGACACAGGGCTTTAACGGTTAAAATTATTTTGAGGAGGGGTGGAGTTGAATTATCATCACACTTATTAATAGTACATACCTGAGAAAATGCATACATATGGTAGAGATTTGGGGCTAGAGACAAAGGCAGTGTCTGTTCTGACCACTGCGCTCTCAGGTGCTAAGGACCCGTGCACGGGAAGGCCGTTCCTCTTGGAGGGACTGTTCAGTACGTCCACCTTCATTCTGTGGGAAGCAAAGTCTAGAAGCCACTTTTTTTCGGAGGATTGGCTGACCCGCTATTTGAGTCACTTACCTCCTCACTGTCCAGGCAAGTCCACCCCAAAGACTCTCCTAACAGCCAGGAACAACTCAGGATAGAGGCCTGTGTATCCACAGTGTCACCTTATTTTTCACCCCTCAGATTCAGAACAGAGAGATATTATTTTCTGTGCTTTCACCAATGTGTTTTGATGGAGTGATTTTTTATCTTATCTCAATACATTTTGACTGAAACTTGGGCAATTTAGAATTAGCTCACGTACTGTATGAATCATGTCTTCTACTGGCAAGGCCGGGCCTGTCCCATAACTCATGAGAATCAGACCCATTTTCTTTCAGAATAAGTGTAATTTTTGGTCTGAATGGGAAGCAAACCGTTTTGTTGCTGTTCTTGGCATGCCATCAAACCAATTCCGACCGACAGGCCCCATGTGAGGGTGCAGCGGCCTCACAGGGTTCCCCCAGCTGAAGTCTTCATGGGCACGGGCTGCCAGGGCATCCTCTTGGGGAGTGGCTGAGAGGTTCGAAACCACTGAGCTTTCTATTAGCTGTGGAGCGCACACAACCAGGGCTCCTGGAGACCATTTTACCAGGGTGCAACACTGGGTGAACGGCTGGCTTTAAAAAACTCTGATCGGGGGAGCTTCGAAAAGGATGTGGGGAAATGGCATTATCTTTTCATCCTATTTTGCCACATACCGTCCAAAACCCCTCATGCTTGCACCCAAATGGCAACACCCAATGCTTTGTGGGAAGTGGACCATCGTTTATCAGAACTGAAACTCGCTGATGAATGGACAAGCCTCCCGTTTTGGGTGGTCTAAAGAGCAACATGCAAGGCGACTCGGCCTGCCAGGGGCGGTGGCAGACAGGTCTGCAGAACCCCAGGGTTTCACGCATCCAGTGAGATCGCCTAACGTTTCCTTTTCCCTCCCGTTTGAATGATGGTGTGGGCAACGGCTATTCGACCCGTTGGGCTGCCAGAACAAACAGATCTGTCCTGGAAGAAGCACAGGCCTGTTGATAGGAGAGATTAGTCCCTGGAGAAGGGCCTCATGCTTGGCAGAGAATGGCAGCAAAAATGAGGCAGACACTCAACAAGATGCCAGGCACAGTGACTGCCACAGTCGGCGCTACCCATTTCGAGGGTGGCTCAGGGCCGGGCAGTGTTTCCTCCTGATGTACCCAGAGTCCACGTTGAGTATGGATTGCAGCTCACTGTGAAGACCAGTCCTCGCCAGGGGACCAACAGGTCGCATGGCGATGAATGGAGAAAAGAGTGACGCTGTCAGGGATTCCGTCTTGCTTGGATCCACCATCAATACTCAAGGAAGCAGCAGTAGGAGATCAAACTCGTAATATCCTGACAGCTGTCGTCTTTTGCTCTTCAACAGTTTTGAGTCCTCGGCTCATTAAACAACGTTGTGTTGTACCTGCCTTTTGCAGGTTGTTAATTAGCCTTTTCCCAACCTTGATGCCACATTGTTTTGCAATCGTTTTATTAGGGGCTCACACAACTCTTTATCACAATCCATACATCCATCCATTGTGTAAAGCGCATTTGTACATTCATTGCCCTCATCATTCTCAAAAGATTTGCTCTCCACCCAAGCCCCTAACATCAGTTCCTCATTCTTCATATAGTCGTTTCTCAAGATTCTTTCATCAGCATACTAATGAAGGAAAGGTTACAACCCTTGCACACACTTCACCTAATTTCAAACCATGAAATCGCCCATGTTGTTCAAACTGCCACCTGGACTTTAGACCCGCCCCACAAGGGCACAAGGAAATGCTCTGAAGTGGCCTTCCTTCCCCATGGCTTCCATAACTGGGGATGATCCTCACAGGTTAATGTCCTCACAATCAGTCAAACAGCAATCTCTATTCTCTGCCTCCAGCTCAGGTCCTCTGGCACAGCAACGGAATCCCTTGGGGCCACACCTTCTGAAGTTGGCTTAGGTCTCCCAGTTCCCTGCTGGTGTCTTCCTGACAATTGCTCATGATCTCTGTATAGCAAAACTTTGCCTGGGTGAGATGTTAGCGACACATTGGGTCGAATCCTTCCTTTATAATGGGCACAAATGGGAAGAACTGATGCTCTGATATGTGCTCCCACATAGCTGAACTTAGAAAGCCTTCCCACTGCTCCTGGGTCCATTCGGACTCACAGCAACCCTGCAGCGCAGAGAACTGCCCCTTTGGGATTCTGCACATCCTAATGGGCAAGGAACACTGCCCTCTTTCTCCTTAAGTGGAGGAAAAGTTCGTCAGGCAAAGAAGGGAAATCTTATAGAATCCACTGACATGAAATATCTGCAACGGGCCCACGGCCAGAGACTGAACCTAACTCTGGGGAGGAGGTAGGTTGAGAGGCACGGCTGGTCATGGGGAGTCTGCGGGGCCCGCCCACCCATCGTTCCATGGTGGCCAGACCTGGTGCTCCCGTGGAACGGTCTTGGCCTGGGAAACCATATGGGCCCTTCTCCCCTCTGTCTGACTCAACTGCACCTAATGGGCAGGTGGGCAGGCGCCACCTGCACAGCTTCTTCTCCGGGGGGAAATGGAGAAGGCTGGGCTGGGCCAGTGGTGGTGGTTGCCCGACAAGGCAAAGGCAAAGATGACTGAACTGCCAAGGTCAAACACACTGGAACGGCAAGTGGGCAAGTGCGTGGTTACTTACTCAGTCCCGCCCTGCCCTCCAAGAAAAGCCCAACCCCAAGCATGTTCCTTTGGGGGTGATGAAAGGTTTTGGAACTGGGTAGCGATGGTAGCTGCACAACACTGGACATGGAACTAAGAGGGACTGAGCTGTTCCTAAGGACACCATTTATGGGATGTGACGTTCACCTCCGTGAAAACCATCCACCGCGGGAAGCTGTGTCATCTTTCCGTGGAGCTGCAGTTCCGGTCAGAGGAGTAACATGTACGTATGTCAGAGCCTATTGATGCTTCAAGCCTATGAGTGGATGTCTGCTCCAGAGAACCCCACTTCAAATCCACCAGGAGAGGCACGGTTTTGTTCAGGTACAGGTTTATTAAAAGGCGAGTAAAGGGGTCTCCTCCAAGGTCATCTCCCCTATGTGCCCACGCCCACCCTCTCGCCCCTTGATTACATCCGAGGGAGTAGGTTCGGTGACAAAGATGGCAGAGGAAGGGGGTGCTTGCTGCTGCTGATAAAAATCCACCCTCTGTAAAAATACAGACCCAACCCCAGGGGGGCTCTCAGGCAGACACGGTTGGTGTGCAGTGGGCAATGAGAGGCTAAGTAACCTACCCCACCCCCTCGAGGATCCCCATGTCCAAGAAGAGCAGAATGCGGCCGAGAAGTGACCACATCCAGCTGTCCCCGGGAGAGGTGGGCGCACCCAGGGGACTCCCGGGGTGGCCCACCCACTAGCAGAGGCGAGTCTTTCAAGATCAGGCTCCCAGGGAACTGTCGCCCCTTCACCCATCAGGGAGGTGCTGTTCCCTCGCGGGAGGAAGGGGGGACTCGGACCGCGTAGGGCTCTGAAGACGGCATTGGGACCCGGGAGGCGGCAGTTAGGACTTCCTCAACGCCCTCCCAGGTGCTCAGGTCACTGGGGCCCGTCGGAGACAGGACGTTTCCCTCCTGTAGGCCCTCTTTCCCAGGGAAAACGATGCCTGGAACCTTTACACTCACCCCTCTGGGCCTGACACCACTCGGGAAACAGGACAAGGCAAGGTGACAGGCAGGGGGGACACACACACACTTTGGGGACCATCCGAGGATCCTAAGACTGAGTTTTGTCGTGAGACACATCAAACGGACAGTGGCGAGTGGAAGGCACTCTCTGAAGGGAAGTTCAGGAGAAGAAGGGGCAGGACGGCGCCTTTTGCTTTGCTTGGTTTTTTTTTTTTGTCTAATGCAGGAGAGGGAGGGAGACAGAAACATCACATGTCTGTGGTCCCCGAGACCGTTGTGCCGGCTTCTCAGCCTGTCCCTTGGTGGGCGTCCAGGGCGTCGCTAGTCTTCTGCTGTGTAATAGCGGTACATCAGGGCCACCATCAGGGCGGAGATGGCGGGAATCACCCAGTTGGTCCACCAACTGCAAAGACACAGCAGGCAGTGAGGACTTGAACCACGGGCACGACATGCCCAAGACCGCTTCCCCCTTGCCTGATGAAAGACCACACTGAGCTTCCAGAAGCAACGTGTGCGGAGCGTGCCCTACTACGACCGCAACAGCGCTGTCCTGCTGGCAGAATGAGAATGCAAAGGAGCTACCCAGCCCGTCCGGAAGGAGTTCCACCAACTTCCCAATCCCCACGAGTCATTCTCGACACCACCTATGAGGGCTGGCTTATCCAACGATCACACACTCTCGGTAAACTCTTCAGTGAAGATTTCTTCCCTCCAACCGGAGACCACAAGGACTGGACGGTGCCCAGCCCCACTACCAACCACCGGACCAGAAGGTCCTGATAAGAGTGGGAGCAAAATGTGTAACAAAACTCAGAATCATAAAAGAGCAGGCTTACGGGTCGGAGAGAGACCAGTGAGCCCCCAGACTGCCCCTTAAAAACCCTTCAAGCCTGAAACCGACCTCTCGTCCCCGTGGTTCAGCATGCGGCTGAAGGAGAAGACGCTAGCTTCAGGGAGGTGTGTGTTGTAGTGTTTGCTGGGGTGGGGCTGGGGGGCTCAGTGGGAGGGCAGGGGGAGGGGAGAATGATGCATGGAAACAGTAAGCCCAGGGTGGGTGTGGCAGATGCTGCTATCTCCTGGGGCCTGCAATCTATGTCACTAAACAAAATGGGCCTGAGTTCCTGAAAGGAAAACCAAATCACAATTGAAGAAAGGTGACTATCCCCGCGTTGGACTCTAGTTGCATACAGGGACTAAGGATTGAACAGGACCACTGGGGTGAGAGTCTGAGGAACCAAGCGGGGTTCGGAGGCGAGGTGCGTGTGCAGGGCAGTACATCCAGGAGCCAGAGGCAGGTGTCTCCTGAGGACGCTACCCAGGCACGTCCTCCATCCCACAGCACCAGCTGCCCCAAGCTTGGCTGTCACAGTCCATGTATGTCAATCCACTCTCATGCACACTGTGATCTCCTTCCTACAAACTGTGGCTGCATCACGGACAGGTTTACATGCATACCTATGATGCCTGACAAAAGAGAAACTAATGCATAGGTTTTAGAATCTGGATAAAGGCAGATAGATACACACACACACACACACACACACACACACACATTTACTGCCACGAACTCTCTATTCATTATTACTCTTCCTGCAATATCCCAAGTGAACAGCCGAGCTTACTTTGCAGGTTTAAGTTTCACGAGGATTGCAGGTGTCTTTTCCAGGCAGCAGGAGTCTACAGGAGGTCCCTTCCAACCTCTATTTAGGAGAACCTCTGAGGTCAGACAGTGATGGGGGATGGGGGAGGTTGGTCCTGCCTGGAGGTAGGGGAGGTAGCAGACGGAGGTCTGGGAGACAGGACAGAACAGGCGCCCGTGGAACACACCTTGGAGCTGGGGTCCAAATCAAGGGCCAGCAGCTGTTACGTAAGCCCACACAGAGTGGCCAGAATGGGAGAAACCCAGCACCCACAACACTGGGATTACCGGCTTGGTTTTAGGATCAATTTACAAAGGGACAAAGGAAAACAGACCGGTGAGGGAAACGCAATCCCGCCAATTACAGAAACCAGACACACATCATGTGAGGCAGGAGGCTGCTGGCCTGGGGATTAAGAGGGTGAGCAGGCCAGGGAGTGACCCCTGAAGGGCACCATGGGACAAGGAGGCAGGCTTTGTCCTAAGGGACATGTGTGTAGGGGGTGGGGGGAGGAAGATGGATTGAGCTCAAGATAGCCCAGCACACGGAGGTGAGGTGCCCCTACTGGGCCAGCACCTAGGCTGCGGCGGCGTCCTATGTGGTGTGTACAGAGGACTTACCTGGATTCGGAGTCGACAGTCGTGATGAGACTCTCCTGAAACGCAAAAACAGGGGCAGTGTCACGTCAAAGGGCAGTGTGACGGTGCCCCAGCTGCCACTGAGCACTGAGCACCTACGATGGTGGGTCATCTGCAGAAGGGGGCCTGGCTGGGCAAACTTCCTCTCAATAAAATGCCCAACTTGACAACATATTTTTCTAGAAGAAACATTTCTTCAAATACCCAGATTTAAGTTACCTAACCACATGACTTAACCCGGATAATTTGAAAGAAAATGTCAGAACACAAACTGCCTAATGTATACTGCATATAATAGAACCCACGGCCATTGAGTTGATTCTGACTCAGAGACCCTGTGATATATTCTAGCATAATAGTTCCTGTGGTTTTTAACCCTGAAACTGAAAATATAAATGCATCAAAACACACACACACCCATTATCCTCTTCAAATGCATGGATAGAATGTTCTAGAAAAACCTTCTAAGAAGCAAAAGTGTGCAGGACTTGTATTCAGAGACATATCAACCAAAAAAGAGACAAATAAGGATGCTGGTCAGTGGTGACCCTCCAGGCTACCGCCTGCCCTTTCACTCAGTGCTTCAGTCCTGGTGGGGGCTCATCCCCACCCCTACCTGTCAGATCCCCCTTCAGAAGGTGGCTTTACCTCCAGGACCTTCTCAGAGAGACCCTTCTCGGGAACCACGCACACTTCCACACACAGTGAGCAAGGGGCTGTGCAGCATATTAGGAAGCGTGCTTGTGAGATGCCACACCAGCCTGAGTATTAGCAGCGCCCCACACGGAGGCAGCCAGGAGAAGGCAGCATTGAGACTTCCAGTCCCCTCTCCGCTGCTGCATCCAAAGGGGAGGCTACAAACGCAAAGCCATCAGCTGTTAGGTGGGGGCCAAGCCACACTCTGCAAAGCTGGTTTCCAGAACCCCCTGGAAGGGCGGCCCCTCTCAGGGAAGAGTCAGCCAAGCAGCCTGAGGTCACCAACCTGGGAGCTTGTTCCTCTAGGGTTCCTGATCGGTGGGGAGAGAAAGCGGTCATTCCAAGTAAGTACCATTTTCACCAAGGCTAAAGCTGACAGGCTGGAGAAAATCCATTACTTACAAGACTGTGCTTTCGAATTTTGCACTGTGCATAGTACAGGAATTACTAGAAATAATCAAAATATTCACAAGTTCTATTTAGCTACGAGGAGGCGTGGTCAATTGTGAAGCAGAAGACAAACAGCTCCCGGTGGGTGAGATGCCACCGCTGCCAGACAGAGGTAAAGACCCTGGGTGGGCAGTGAACATGCTCAGCCACTAACACAGCGGTTCTCAACCTGGGGGTTGAACGACCCTTTCACAGGGGTCGCCTAACACCCTATTTCTGATGGTCTTAGGAACCGAGACATCGCTCCTCTATCTGTTTACAGGTGGGTCCGCCCCATGCAGATACGCCCACATATGGGGTCACCCCAACATGAGGAACTGCATTCAAGGGTCACGGCGTGAGGAAGGTGGGGGACCACTGTGCTAACAGAAGGTTGGAGGTCCGAGGACGCCAGCTGTGTCTCGGAAGAAAGGCCTGGTGCGCCACACCCTAAAGGCCCCCTGAGAACTTGCTCTGACGGGTGAGCGAGCAGCCACAAGGTCAGGGTTAGCTCCACAGAACTGGTGTTTCAGGACATACAGATCCAACAGTTAATGGGGCAGACCAGGCACTCATCCCATTACCAGGCTGAAGCAGGTGCCCACACGCCCCATCACACAGGTCACAACTCCCTCTGGGCACTCCACGGGTTCACCTCCCTGCCCTTTGTAGTTACCTAAAACACTGCTGGCATGCCACCACCGCCACCAGACTAGTGTCACCAACACCAACATGACCACCAGCACAGTGTGCACAACCACTATCCCCACCACTGTCACCACCACCAATAGCACCACTGCCACCAACACCCAACATACGCACTGCCATCACCATCACTAACATCACCAGTGCCACCAGTGCCACCCACATCACCACCACCACTAACAGCACCACTGCCACCAACCCCTTCGCTAACACCACTACTGCCATCACTGCCAACACGGATGATCTAAACAACTGAACTTTAAGTGCATGTACGCACACGCACACACACGTGCTCAGACACACATTTTTCACTGCTGCTTATCCACGAGGCTCCAGGGTGAATCCGCAGCAGGAGAGAGGGCACTGTCCTTAGGGGCTGGCAGTGGAGGGGCCTGGCTGGGTTCATGCAGCTAAGTTGCCAACCCGCAACCATGAACAGGGAGAAGGCTGGTCTTCCCCACAGGCTATATCACCTGCTGCCTCTCGGGCCTTGAGGCGTGTGATTTCTATCAGGAGGGACTCATCTAGAAAAGGGTCATTTACTGTCCCGTGGTAGGTTACTGGCACCCTCCTGTCCCACGCTCCTCCCACCACAGCAGAGGAGGAAGATCCACATCTGAGCGAAACGCTCGGAGGTGGGTCCGTCGGCAGCATCCTGGAGCGAAAACCATCCACGCAAGAAAGGTAGTCTGACACCTACAGCTCGCGAAGGCCTTCCCTCCCCAGCAAGGGGGCCCGGTGTCTAGTGCAACAAGGGAACCAGGAAAGCAGCATCTTAGGACACACACAGCATTCCTTGGAGGGGGAAGCAGAAGCCCCAGCATGGACCTGGCTCTACGCCACAGGCTCCAAGTAGGAACACAGTTAAGTAAGCACACGGTCTCAGAGCTAACAAGAGAGAGGAAGGGTCTGGCCCACGGAACACTGCCATGATGCTCAGAGACAGCTCAATAGACCCGTGGGCTGACGGCACCCACCGCGCCCTCGCTGCTCTCTGATGATGGCCTTTGCGGTTATGAGACAAGTCGGACCGACAATAGCTCTAAATCTGTGCAGGGGCCTTGCCTTCTGGACACTGTGGGACAACGTGCACCATGATTGCTCCGGCACTCGGCACCTGGTTCCTGCAGGGCAGACTTCGGGGGAGAGCAACACGCCGCCTCCACCACCGCTTTCCCCCAGTCGCCTCGGAAAGATCCTCTGCCAGGAGCTCTATCAGCAAGGCCGCCGAGCAGGGCGGCCGAGGCCAGGGACATGATGAAGTCCACTCTATCTCCCTCGAGTGCTGACAGCACCAGTGTTGGCCTCAAGCCTTCTTGCCCAGGGAACGCCACATGCAAGGTTTCCACGGCACTATCTGGCTACATGGCCTTCATGCTGGGATGCCTGGATTAACTGCTTAGACCAACCGCAATGGCTAGCCGGTCACAGCTACTCCACTGAACCGGTAGCTCTCACACAACCAGCTCAGTGATGCTTAAGGCAGAACACAAAAATCACCTGTTCTTCCTGTTGTACATTCTAAGCCAGGCCCGCCTCCCCAGTCTCTTCATTACTGCCAGGGACAGATGTGTCTACTTGTCCTTATCTGGCTCTCTGGCTCACCACACCTCATGCTGTTCTTGTCAATCCACACCAGGGCTTTATCTTCACACTAAAGTGTGAGGATCAGTGTACAGAGAAGAGTTGGTGAGGCAGAGTTGAAAATCAGGGTTTTCCAAATTACATTCCAATCCTAGGGGAAAACACACCCCAAAGTTCTAACTTCTTCTAGTTATCATTAGTTGGTCATCCAACCGATACTTACCGAGTGTCTACTATGCTCCAGAGACGTAAAGATGTAGAGGACACAGGTCGTATCCTCGAAGAACGGAGCAGTCAGATCTCAATACAAATCAAGGGCTGTCTCCTACTTCCTATCTCAGAGTAATGACAGGCCTCCTCAGGAAGTCCTCCCAGGGCAGCACACAGCCTGTCCTAACAGAGTGCCCTGCTGCTCGGTCCCATCCAGCGATCATGCTGAGCCAGCAGAGCATACCTAGTCACCTTGCCAGAGAGGAACTGGGTGGGCCGCAGGGAGGTAGGTGGGCCAGAACCCTTTGCCTTCAGCTGGACAGTCACACAGTCCACAGACAGCACCTAAACCCAGGGGAGGACATCTGAAATGGTTACTCACCGATGGCTTCTCTAGCTTTGATCTGTCATCCTGTAATACAAAATACAGTCCATTAAAGAACAAAAAACCACCCACAGAGCCTGCTGCTTCTGAAGTGCTTGTGGTCAAAGTAGGATGAAAACACTACTCAGTAGCTGGCAAATTTGGGTTCATCTCTCCAGGGTGCTAAACCCAAACATCTGTCCAACTGACTGGGCTGCAGAAGTAACGGCAGCTGGAGCGCCGAGCGGTACCGTCCACGCAGAGCCCCGGTCCCGGTGGGAGGGCTGGAGCGCACACACACACACACACACACACACACACACACACACACACACACACACGACATGAGTGCGCAAGGGCTGGGCTGGAGGGGACCTGCACACCTACCAGTCACTTTGAGATGTGTCTGTCCAGGCTAATTTTGGGGATCTCCTTGGGGAAGTCAATTTTAAGGTCCTGAGCTGCTGAAACCTCCCTCGAGCTGAGGCTGCCCACAATCAAAGAGGTCAAAGGTTTGAAGCACAAGCAAGCACAGCAGGCAGGCAACATGGAATGCTGTGCACAGGGCCCTGGAGGCCCCCAAGTGAGGAGCGGGCCGCCAAAATGCCACAGCACCGAGCATCCTACAGGGCAGGCCTCTGGCTCCCTGGAGCCGCTTCTGCAGCACAGAGGGAAACGGAAACGTTTGGGGGAATGAAGTTTACAGATAAATGATCCCTGCCTCCAAGCACCAGCCCCCCCAACCCTCTTCCCAGTGGAAGTCATCCTGTAGAATCCCTCCTCACACCCGGCCCCCCTTCTCACTAAGAGGGGTTCTAGGTGGGGCCAGCCTAGCCTGCCCTTCATCAGTGGTCCCTGAAAGCAGCAGTGTTGCAGCCAGGAAGAAGCCTGTTTGGGGCTTGTTTGCTAGCAGCCTCTCAGGCTGCTCACTCACACGAGTCTTTCTGCCTGGTTTCTCGCTTGCCTTCTCTCCAGCAGCCCCTCAGCACCCAGAGTTGGTTCCTCATAAGGGGGAGGAGGGAAAGGGCCCCAAGGCGAAATGAAGCTCTTGTAAGTGAAAGGGCCAGCTGGTCTCAGGGCCCACCCCTCCACTCTCCATACCTGCAGGGCTTGGCTACTTTCTTCCAAGTGTCAGCCATACACCACGCCTCACTTACTATCCTACTATCTCATTCTCTAGGGTTTCACACCTAAAGGCAAGAGTGAAAACTCTATCCAGCCAGACTACACATTAACGATGTACACCTGGCCATCACGGACACTGAGCTGCAGGGCCAGAGGCCTGCTGGCTGTGGAGGTCAAGGTGCTATGTCTGCTTGGGTGGGCTAGCAGTAGGTAATGATGTAACTTAGCAATTGGGTGATGACGCAATCTGGCAGTTCACGCAATGATGTGGTCATCCTCCACTTTCACAAAGCAGATTTTTACTCGCGCTTGGTCCACGGAGCCTCACCACATAGCTATGCGGGCAGTGGGCACAGGCCTCATGAGCTCTGGTGACAGACAAGTGATGTTCAACAGAGCCAGATGGGCCTCGGGTCGGAGTTCAGCTCTGAGTCCACAGAAAAGCGACATTAAGCCGGTGTTTCCCAAAAGCTGGCTCAGGAACTGGAGCAAAGCGGATGTTCTCGGAGGTCTGAGGTGAAAAGGGAAGGCCACTGTGCCAGGTTCTATCAACAGCAGAGGTCGCCCACCAACAAAGGTTAACTTTTAAATTCATGATCAGTTTTAGTATTCAAATATGCTCAAACTGATGAAAGTAGAAGGTGGTCGTTTAGGGAAAATACTTTCAGTTAAAAGTCAGAGGATAAAGCTATGAAGATCAATACCCCTAGCTTTGGGGAACTTGCTCCCACAAAGCCTGCCCTCGACACAGCTGTGGAGCGCCCTGCCAATGAAAAGACAAGGACTGAGGCATGCGAAGAAGCTTCTGGTCCCTTTATGCGACGGTGGTGCTCCAATTTCAGGAGGGGTTACTTCGACTCTTCTTCTTTTTAAAAGAAGTTTTACCAACTTGGGAAAAAGTCAAACAAGTCTAAAAATTAAGTAAAAAGGGGTCCCCCAAAAGCATACTTACTGGATGCAGCTCCCCAATGATATATTCTTTGGACATTTCTCTAGCATCGGTAGAGTGCCCAACATCCTCGAAATTCTCAGTAGCATCCCCGCCAGCTTGTTCCCTTAAGACTTCTTCTCCACCGGGATGCTGCTCAAAGAAGGGCAGAAAATAATGCTTCAGAGGCAAAAGCAGTCACCAGGAAATCGCTAGTTCCCTTAGCAAACACGTCAGTACTGCTTGCACCACACATACAACGGGGAGATGCAAACCATCTATACTGTGGATAGACGGGACTAAAAGGACACAGAGAACTTTCAGTTGCCTTTCGATGGCGGGAAAGCTGGGTAACGGGCAAGAAGAGCGAAGAACTGATGATGCCCTGAACCAAGGCGCTGGTGGAGACACCCCGTGCCACGGGCTGCCAGGAATGACGACATCTGTGTTGGGAGAAGCACAGCCGGACGCTCCTCAGAGGCGAGATGACGGGGACTTTGGTCTCATGTGTACTTCAGGCTTGTGATCAGGAGGGACCAGCACCTGGACAAGGTCAGCATGCTTGGTAAAATCAAAGGTCAGTGACAAAGAAGGTGGTCTTCAATGAGATGGATGGACACAAAGGCTGTGGCAAGAGACTCCAACACAGCCAGGGCTGCAGGGACCGACAGGCTGCCCGGACTGCTATGGCCCGGAGCCAACAGGGTGCCACCTGGCACAACACACTGTCGGTTATGGAAAGTGAACCTTGCAGACAGCTCGCTAAGCGAGAGAAGCCAAACCCAAAAGGACAAATACTGTAAGACCCCATACATCTAGACCTGCCAGAAGAGCCAACACAGAGGGGCTAACTGTGCTCGTGGCTCCCAGGGGAAAATGAGGAGTGTGGTCCTGGGGGTGCTGACGGTCTCCAGCCCCAGGGTAAACTGGAGGGTGGAAAACGCAGACAGAAGTGAGGTGTTGGCAGAGAATCTGAAGATACCCTTGGCTGCCAAAGAACGGACCGGTCAGTCGGAGGAGAAACTCCACCAGGATGCTCCTTAGAAGAAGTATGGCGAGACCTGAGCCCACTTCCTTCGACCAGGTCAGCAGGGAAGGCCCATGTCAGCCAAGGACATCATGTGAGGCCAACGAGGGGAATCCTCGACTGACACACGCACTCCAGCAGTGGACTCAAACACTCCAACCGTGCGTGGACACTGGGCCAGGCCACGTTTTGTCCCGTTACGCAGGTTGAGGCCAAAAGTCAAAGGCAACTTGAGAACAACTGGCTTTCTGTTTGGAGAACAAGGGGGACCGGCTCGTGGTGGTGCCTGTGCAGCGTGGCACACGGGACAGCGGCACTGGGCTGTACACCTGAAAATGGTGACAGCGGCAAATGCTTTTCTGTGCATTTTCTTTACGAATGAAGTTTGGCACAGACAAAAACACTAACCTAAAACGTTGGATTCAATTTCTTTCTCAAAAATTCAAGAGAACCTTTCTCCGATAACCAGGCGCTGGTGACCCCGCCTGTTATTCCCTGGGAAGGAAATCTATTTCTACTCCGCGATGTCAGGTAGATTCTGGACATGGAAGGAGACTGCCACCGCTTCCTCCCACAGACCTGCTGATGGCTCGGATGTCACCTCAGTGGGCACGCTTTATCCACTGCGCCACCCGGCTCCTTCCCTTTTCCATACAGCTCTCAAATTTGCTCTTCTTAATCTTGACCCCAACCCATCTTCCCTTGAGGCTGGTGCCCAGAGAGAGAGACGGGTCACTCTCGGCAGTAATCGGAAGAGACTGTGAAGCCGACACTGACGTGGGACACTAGCAGTCATTTACGGCACGGATGCGTTTACTGAAGGAAGCCTCACTCAGTAAGCAATGGGAACGTCAATGGCCGGGCATTCTCCAGCGGATGCCCCGCACCCGCGCTGGTTACTCAGGTGTTGGCCTCTCCCACGCTGAGGAGGCTAGCGGCCATGAAGACGGTCAACGCCAGAAAAAGAGTTGAGCACAAACCAAACTGTTTGGGAAGAAAAAAGTTGGCTCACTCAAAAAGGCGAACCCAATGTCAAGTTGGAGATGGCCAAGCACCCAAGGCTCTCCTCCAAAATTTGAGGATCAGATCAGACCTGTTTCACCATCCTGTCAACCCGAAGGCAGTAAGGGATGAAGAGAAATTCTTAACGCAACAAAGGGTTGCATAATATAGTTTGTCCTAGCAGTTTGTGGTCGCTTTTGATTTCATTTATATTAACTTAGTATAAATGAATAGTTGTACGGCTTTAGTCACTGCTTTACAATCACTAAGGCTCTGAAGTGGTCACAGCTCCACGTCAGTTCAGGTGAGAAATGTGAGAGACTCCGAGGTGGGATACTTGTGACTTTGAGGACTCAGACAAGTCACGGGTCTACTGATGCACACCCGAGTGAGAGGACACAAGCAAGAAGTGACAAATGAATTATGACACCAAATGCTAGGAGGGACAGGTCCCTTCTGTGAGTGTCGAGTGCACCGGAGGAACCCTGACATAATGAACACCAGCAAGGAAGCCTCGGCCCTTGGCCACCCCACTCCCCGACTCTGAACCCCATACATTAACCAGCAAGGAAGCAAGCCTAGGCCCTCAGCCACCCTGCTTCCTGCGTCTGCTCTGAATGCCACAGTCTGAAGTGTTTACCCTTCTCCTGCAAAAAGCATGGGCTCTAAAAAGGATACTGGGGAAATTAAGCTTTGCTGGGCACCACATAAAGCCGCCCTGGTGGCACAGGCCGCGTTCCGTTGCTGAGTGCACGGGCGGCGGAGCGAACCCCCAGCAGCTCCCAGGGGGAAAGGTGAGGTTATCTCTTCTGTTAAAGACCGGGTCTGGAAAACCCTAGGGGCAGTGTCTACTCTGTCCTGTAGGTTTGCAGTGAGCGGCAACCAGCTGAGCAGCAGTGGGTTTGGTTTGGGGAGAACCAAATGAAAAGTCTTGGTGGTGCAGAGGTTGCTGGGCTGCTCACCACAGGGTCGGCAGTTCAAACTCACTAGCCACCCTGAGGGAACATGCCGCTGTCTGCTCCCATGAAGAGTTTTAGCCTCGGAAACTGTAAGGCGCAGTTCTACCCTGTCCTTTCAGGTCAAGAGAATGGGAGACTGAGTCAGCGTCACGACAGTGGGCTTGGGTTTGGGGCACTTCATCTCCAAAGTGACTTCAGGGACAACCACAGTCCTTCGGACAATGCGAACGGACAATCATCTTGCTTCGCCTTTAGTTGCTAGGAAAAGAGTCCTGTTTCACCTCTGTTGCTAGCGCCATGCGGTCTTCCCAGGTACGCGGTGTTGCTTGCCGTGCACAATTAAAATGAGTTGGAATTGACTGGACAGCTGTGGGTTCTATCATGTGGGAACAAACACATGATAGAAATCATTTCAATGAAACTCACACCACCTCCTTAGATGAATATCCATCAAGTTTCAGGAAAGGCCGCATGTGGGTTTGATGCCCACCTGTCTATCTACCCAACAGGCAACTATCTACCTACCTCACCTTCCTTTTAGCTTTTTCCAGGGTCATATTAACAGCTCCCAGTACAAAATACAGAAAACACAAAAAGGCACAGAAAAAGAAAATGGAAACCACACGTAACCCTTTTCAAATGAAAATACAAGACACACACACACACACACACACACACACACACATGCCTGGGGCAGAATGAAACAGCAGATGGTGTTTTGTAAGAACACAAGAGTGTAAATATACCCAATGCCGGCTACAGTCTGTCCCATCCACAAAGGCGTGGTCTGGGAATGTTTTTAACATTGTTAGAAACCAAGAACTAGTTATGCAACCTACACAATGAGACACGGCCTCCAAGCCTGTTGGAGGCAAAGCAAAAACTACATCTGAAAAGGACTAAACGCGGGTTGGGAAATCCCACTTATCCAGGGTTTTCCTGGAAGCTTCTACTTCTTTTTGGCTAGTGTGCACACCACGTGAATCTCTCAACGCTGGGAAGCAGAAATATCAGCATCCGATGTCACTCGGGACAGGTGATTTCAGTGAACGGAAACCCCAGCAGGGAGGCCAGGATGTGGAGACGGAAAAGGGTTGTTACTGACGGCCCAGTGGCCTCAGGCCGCACACGGGTGCGGAGAAAGCAGTTCTGCAGGCCCCTTCCTCACCCTCGTATTGGGTGCCAGGGCCACTTGTCTGCCCTTAAGCTCTTGGCCCAAAACAGAAAAAAATGGACACATAAAACCCATTTTTGGAATGATCTTTGCCAGCTGATGTTCTTTCTACCTAGTACAATGAGATAAGTATCTGACGAGATAGGGACTAGCACGTAGTTTTACTCAGTCATGCTCCTCGGCTCCTATAAATCCCTTCGGGTTAGTGGATTTGGAAATACGAGCTACAATATGTCAAGGCTTACAGAGATAATAAAGTCTGGCGTTCTTAGAAATACAACGAGGTAGGTCCTTTTATCTGGCTCATGACCTTGACTCTCCAAACCCTGGACTCCTTCTCTCCAACCCCTCATCGGCTGTCTGTCATCTTTCACACACCACTGCTGGGAGACACTTCCTTAGAGGGAGTGGCCCATTCTATGTCCCCTCTCAGGGACCATCCCAGTGAACCTGTATTCAAATCAAATGCCTCATGAATTTCTCAACCAAGAGGTGTTCTCAGCTGAACCACCACGTCTAGCACAAAGCCTGTTCTCTGACCCAGTGTCAGCGCCTCCTTCCTTCTTAATGCTTACACCTGCAGCGGGAGCAGCCTCTTGGGAAACAAACACTGCCGTCCTTGCAGCTGGCGTGCTACGTGATTCAACGCTGGTGAACACAAGTGGCAAGAAAAGGAAGTGTCAGGAGCACCTTCCAGAGGCTTCTTTAGAAGTGGTGCGATCCTTTTGGCCCTCTCCCCGGTTCTGCTCCTGCCACCAGGGCGATGGAGAGGAGAGCCATGCCTTTGGACACAGCAGAGACCCCAGCAGGCGGGGGCCTGGATGGAGCCCGGGAACCCCAGCAGCCCTGCACTGCAGAGCTGGCATAGTTAGGAAAGACAAACTTCCATCTTGTCTGAACACATTGCTCAAGGATTTTCCAAGTCTATTCTAACTAACGGATGAGACATGAATACGAGGACGGACCAAGACTGGTGCTGTAGAAGCGCGGT